ATAATTTTTCTTTTTTTTTTCAACCACATATTCCTCATCTGGCTCATCACATCAACAGTAAAAATGCATTATTTTTTCCAAAAATGTGCACCAAACGGGGGCTTTGTCCAAGATGAAAATTAAAATCAAATTTTTAATAGATTTTGATAAAAGTTAATGAAGTGTGTGGTTGAAAAACCGTGAGAGCCATAAAATATATTATTGAAATTAATTATTGATTTAAATTTAGATTAAAATCTAAATTTTAATCGATACCAAACATGAACTTTATGTATAGAATGTAAATTTATTCTTTTACCCTTGTTGAAATAATTAATAAGTGGTCAAAATTGTTGTAAAATTATAAGATAAATATTGATAATTATGTAGTCTTATTAGTATGTATAGATATAGATAAATTTTATCTAGTTTAGAGAATCTATTTCATTCCAATCGTGACTTTCATTTTCCAATCGTGACTTTCATTTTAAACCCTGTAAATACGGGTATTCATTATTAATTATTTTTTTGAGTCAACTAACAGTCATTTGTTATTATGTCGTGACTAAATTAAAGGTTTTTATTTTGCATGATTTTGTATTTTTTGTGCTTTTTTCCCTTATTTTTATATGCTTTGTGGTTTGAATTCATTGAAAAATTGTTTCTGTTTGTTATTTTAAAAAAATTGTATGTGCCTACAGTTTTTTTAGTATGTTCTCTTGTCCTAAGACAAAAGTCAAATGTGGAAGTTTTGTTCTATTGTAATTTGTTCTCCCGTGAGGGACTTACCATCGTAATTTTTTATTTTTTTTTTTGCCCCTTGTTTATGATTCTTTCATAGTTCTTGGCAGCTTTTAAATCTCGAATGAGATATCTGTTTCGTATTGTACTTAAATATTTTTTTTCCTTTGCGTACCATCTTTTGATATAGCTCGTGTTTTTTTTGTTGATGTTGTATTTTTCTCTATGTGCATAAATCATAAGCTGCCACCGCCAGCCTTAGCTACCAATCTGCTTTAGGCAGGCCGATGCCGTCAACACAAATTTTAAAATAATAATAATAATAATAATGTGAGGTCTATTTGGATTAGTGCTATTTGTGTCATTTGCATTGTTTGCATTATTTTTGGCCCAGCTGCTTAGGTGTCGTTTGCCTATTGGTAGCTTGGTTGTTATATGTATTGTGTTAGTTTGGTTTTATTAGGACCGTTGGATGAGATGGACGGTTGAGATCTATTCTTGGTTGAGATATTTCCTTGGTTTTGACCGTTGGTCTTCATTAGGTTTTCTCTCTCTCTCTCTCTCTCTCGTCTCTGCTCTCTATTCGTCTAGGTCTCTCTTTCGTGTGTGGAGTCTGTCTTCTCCTTTCTCTTGGGTGATTTTTGGGGGTTTGCTTCTAGGGATTTAGGGGTTTTATCTTGGGTATGATTAAGTCTAAAATAGTGGATGATTCGGCGCTGGTTTCCTTCCTAAATATGTGACTAGAACTCTGTTGAAACTTGGGAGATCGTTCTCGATCGATGACCAGAAATCGAACCCATGATTTCTCTGATAACACCTCTATCTAGATGGCGATTTGCGTGGCGTGGATGGAGATGTTCCTAAGCCTGATTATTCTGCCATAAAAGAGAAGAAACTTTTTGGTCCTTTCAGTAAAGTTGTAGTTCTATGATTTCTTTATACTTTCGATTTCTACAGCATTAGCTACCAATCTGCTTTATGCATGCCGATGCCGTCAACACAAATTTTAAAATAATAATAATAATAATAATAATAATATTAATAATAATAATAATAATGCGAGCTCTATTTGGATTAGTGCTATTTGTGTCGTTTGCATTATTTTTGGCCCAGCTGCTTAGGTGTCGTTTGCCTATTGGTAGCTTGATTGTTATATGTATTGTGTTAGTTTGGTTTTATTAGGACCGTTGGATGAGATGGACGGTTGAGATATATTCTTGGTTGAGATATTTCCTTGGTTTTGACCGTTGGTCTTCATTAGGTTTTCTCTCTCTTTCTCTCGTCCCTGCTCTCTATTCGTCTAGGTCTCTCCTTCGTGTGTGGAGTCTGTCTTCTCCTTTCTCTTGGGTGATTTTTGGGGGTTTGCTTCTAGGGATTTAGGGGTTTTATCTTGGGTATGATTAAGTCTAAAATAGTGGCTGATTCGGCGCTGGTTTCCTTCCTAAATCTGTGACTAGAACTCTGTTGAAACTTGGGAGATCGTTCTCGATCGATGACCAGAAATCGAACCCATGATTTCTCTGATAACACCTCTCTCTAGATGGCGATTTGCGTGGCATGGATGGAGATGTTCCTAAGCCTGATTATTCTGCCATAAAAGAGAAGAAATGTTTTGGTCCTTTCAGTAAAGTTGTAGTTCTCTGATTTCTTTATACTTTCGATTTCTTTATGCTTATATTGTGAACTTGCAAAAGTTGCTTCTGCTGTGAATTGCCGTTGAACTCCCAAATTCCTAACAAATAAATATAATTATAATAATAAAGTTCGAGCCAAACCTTGATTTTTAAACCACACTCGAGCCGCACTCTTTGGCTCATGAGCCGACTTGGCCCTGCTAGCTGATGCTATTTTGCTTCTTCTTTTTCTTCTCCATTTTTTTTAGTGATGTACGGTACGGTTTTAATGAATCTTTCATGAAGGTTTCGTGTGTTGGAAAGAAAAAGAAAAATTTTAGAGACCCATTTAGATATTTTAAATAGGTTTTTTTCAATGTAAAAATCATTTTCGGTTATGTAATTTCATTTTTCTCTTTTTAAAATGTACGACGTCTTATTATTATTATTATTATTATTATTATTATTATTATGTCATCTTCAGTTCACAAGGTTTTATCATTTAAAAATGCTTGATTCACGTTTTTATATTTTTTTGGTCGCTTCTTCACTTTTTTAGTACGTGATTCTTTGTTGTTCTATTCATTCCTTTTCTGGTCTTGATAAACACGATTTTCTTTTGTTCTTAAAATTTGTTTTTTTATTATTATTTTTATATTCCATTTTTTTCAAATTTCTTCTCTACAGCTTTTAGGTAAAATGGAATTTTTTCTTGGTGTGTTCGTTTGTTGAATTATTAGTATTGTACGCTTTTTCCTGCATCTTTCGCTTGTGTCTTGTGTTGTTTGAACGTTATAGTTTTATAAAAAGGGAGATTTTAGAGGGCTTTTCAGAAAATTAAAATGGTTGTGCTTTGCTGATGAATGAATTATTGTCTGTATTCAAATTTTTCTCTCTCCATAAATGTTGAATCTCTATCGTTGAATACGTTTTGATTTTTTTCAGACATGAGATTGTTCATTCTGTTGGGGTTGCCTAGAACTTGGGCATTGAAAAAATTACTTACCTGTTGAAACACTTTCTTGCTTACATTCTCAATCTGAGGCCAAAACGAAAAGTAAAAAAATGAGAAAATGTGCCACCTAAAACTGCTCGCTCATAGTGGATGCAAACTGGTTACTATGGAATTGATCTCCTAAGCATCGGTGTTTATTAGACTAAACACTCGAATGACGTGACAAACTATAATAGATGGTGTGTTAGTTATGAAACTGATTACGCTATTGCAGATGTCCAAAATGGGTTTTAAACAAAATACATCGAGAAGAGGCCGGATTCCCAACAAGATAGACAAGCCTCTCCTGGTTGCCAATTATCTAATTACGTTGGATTTGATGAATTGAATTGAATAACGAAAAAGACATCATGTAACTGACCTAAGTTTCCCAACAAAATATTTTCAAGGCTATTAGTTTTCTTTCGTGATGCTAATTAGAGACTGCATAAGAGGAATAAACACGAGATAAAGGAGTAGAATACATGCAGAAGCCGATTCGATGTTGAAATGAAAGTAGTATGATTCATTCTTCTAACCTATGCCAGTAAAGGTTCCAGTGAAGGATATAAAGCTGGTACATGGAGTTTCATGCTGAATGTCACCAGCACCCCAACAAGTGCACAAATGGCTGGAACAAGACCTAATCCAAATCTTGTCACAGTAAAACAGAAATATAATGGATTGCAGTACTGCAGCTCTGGAGTAGAACCTGCATAATGATAACACTATTAAAACAAAAAAAATGTCACGTATGATTTATAATTGACCAAATTGTAGATGCTTTACTCTGGTAAGACTCGAGAGCGCATAATGCCAACCCACATGATATTTTATCGAGAAAGCTCAACGACCCATAAACGAAGGCACAGCCATTGAGATCTTCACCAACTAGAAAACTCTGCATGCTTACTGCAGTCACCTGTTACTCCATAAAAAAAGTGCTTTAAGGAATAAGAAAACCAGTAAGTATACTTCTATTACCAGAAATTCATCTTTTGTCATATAAATCACTCATAATCATTGGCATTACTTAAATAGTGTCTGTGTGTATATGTGAGAGGTACGTTCTAGATTGAAACTTCTCCTCATTTGGCACGAGGCTTAACTGTGCAGGGTATGCCTGATCATTAGTTCAGGTGTGTTTGAGTCACATTATTTTGGAAGAATGTATTTTGAAATAGTAGATTAATGGAAAATGTGTGGTTGAAAAAGAAGGAAAAATTATTGATGTGATGAAAAATATTATTTTATTGAGAATTTGTGGTTGAAAATGCGTAGAAAAATGAAAATGAAAATTTTCATGTGAGTCAAACATGAGCTAAATCTTGTAAAACTCAATTATATAAGATATGCCTAACTAAACTTATTCTCGAGGGCTCATTAGCACTTTGAAAATGTGACAATATTCCAAAAAAACGAGGTAAGCAGTAAATTCTGACATAAATATGAACCAAAATAGGGAGTCTACAAGTATTTTACATATATTCTAATATGAAAAATTCTTGGTGCACATAATATATGTATATAGGGGTGTCCATACCCCTCACATAAGGTGGGGCCCATAAAAGGGAGTCTACAAGTATTTTACATATATTCTAAGATGAAATACTCTTGGTGTACATAATATATGTACATAGGGGTGTCCATACTACTCAACTTGTAGAGAAATTTCACATTAGTCACCTAATGTTTCGTGTACCAAAGTGGTTGATGAAGTTTCTTTTTTGTTTTAAATTTTGCCACTCGGTTAAATTCATTAGTTATTATGAAGGAAATGAAAGACCATGTTGATCATGTTAAGTCTCGAAGGTCAACAAAAATGGCTACTGGTTTTGGTTGATCAATTCTTGCCTTTGAAGTACCCTTCACGTCGTACTACTAAAACAAGGGAACAATAAAAGGGAAAAAAAACTTTGTTCATACCACCATCAATGAATTTGCTGCTCCAATCACTACCGACAAAGCATATACTACAGAATTCATGCTTCTTGGCAGGAACAATATGCCCAAACCACAAATTATCCATAGAAGTCCTCCAACAGAATAGAAAACCTTTAACCATCGACCGGTCCGTCCAATCTCCTACATGCAACCAGAATTAATTAATAATAACGTTATCTAACACCAATGATGTTATAACACCAGTCTAGGCAGCGTGATGTGATAAGTTCAATTAGAGGTGCAATTGAGAGAGTCATTTAATCGTACCTCTAATTTAATGCTACATTAGTTCTATTTAAACTGGTGCTTTAACATCAATGGTGTTGAATAGCATTACTTTTAATTAAAAATGCCAATAGAAGGGAAAAAGAAACATATGTACAAAGATAAAAAGGAATATTTTTTGACAGCAATAAACCTGTAGGAGGATTGATACAATGAAGCTGCTGATATAGATGATTGCAGGAACCTATGCACACATATTAAGCATGATTTCAAGAAAGGGAATTTTGTCCATATAAATTCGTATAGGTATAGAGATAATTAAATAATACCAAAGCTTTTGACGACTGGGCCATTTGCAAATCATTGATGACGTAGAAAGCAAGAAATGTCTGAGCCAACAAAGTCGAGCAAATGAATAACTCAGAAAAAATAATAACCATTCTACTTTAATCAGATAATCTCTTTCTAAACAATACTATGGAAATGAATATCTGAAAGAACTAGTACAGTTTATGAACCAACCTGTGAAACATTTGTCACTAGTCTAGTGAGTACATAAACAAGTGCAACTTGGTAGTACAGAATTTTCTTAAACCAGTAAGTCCATGAAATTCTAGCATTACTTTTTGCATGACCTTCTCTCTTCAATCTGCAACGGATATAACTTATAAGGCATTATAATATCTAGATTTGTTAAAAGAAAGAGGAAAGTCAGCAATTCAATCAAGCACAGGTCAAATTTTTTGCGTATCAAATCTCTTATCAGAGGCATTACAAAAAAAATAAAAAAATCTTGTTTTGAATTTTTATCAGTTGATGCAAATTTATGATGAAAGTATCAAAAGTAAAACCATTTCCCCTTTAATAATAGATGCAACACACCTTGGCTCTCGAGTCCCAAGATGAAATACACACACGAAACAGCATCCAATGAAGATTGACAAATATGCTATCCAGCGATACTGATCAATCACAGCAAAGTAAGAACCTGTCCTAAAGGAATTCTCAGAAAAAGAGAACAGTATGTTAATTGGCTTACCTGATTCTCAACATCAATAACAGTCACTGATGAGCTGATCTTAAATACTACAAAAGCAACTGCATATAGGCTAAGGTTGGCGACCTTCAAAATTATTAATTTTGAGAAATATCGGTAAGTTTTTGGCCGGGATTGGGAAAAGAGAAAAGAGAATAACTAGTTACAGCATAATTACTAACGAAGTACATGTAAAATCATGAAGAGAACTCTTAACCATGGTAAAAGCATTGCGGCAGCTAGTCAAGACCACTCTGCTCGTAGAATTCAGCGTGATGCAATTCACCATTGACCTACAACACAAGCAGGATATATATTGGCTAATTTCCAATCTGGCCACTGGCAGAGATAACAAGGGGAATGGAAGAGTTCAAGCTCAGAATTATGAAGAAATTATGTCATTAAATCCAAGACACAGGATCCCTAAGACCGATAAAACATAAGTTAGGAGGAACCTGATGGTAAGGTGAAATAGACGTATAGATACTATTAAAACGGAAAAAGAAGTTAAAATATCATTCATAATGTGCTTGTTTGGGAGAAATTACAAGTTTCTAAAATTATAAATTGATAGAAATGAGTGGTGGACAAGTGGAAGTTATGGGACCTACTTAATGTGGAAAATTAAAATTTGACTTTGACAATTTAATTATGATGAAATTATTATTTCAACCAAACAAGCACAATAATGTCCAATACAATTTAATATTGCATAGCAAATGTGGACTAACTAGACCGAAGTAAGTCCTTACATGTGTGACACTTGAGTAGCTGCCCAGCCTACATTGAAGATAGCTGCAAACACGCTATATCCAATAGTTTGCAGAGTAGATGAATCGGAGCCAAAAATTTTGCAAGGCAAACAGCCGCCGAAGACGGAAGAAAATGAAACAGCAACTAAGGCAGATCCCGCACCATGCCAGATCTTAAAATGTCCAAATCTGTCTATCTATCGTGAAAGAGAAACGAGAACAACAATATTAGTGTTTAGCTTTGAAATTCTTTTCTTCTGAATCAAGAATAAATTCTGTAGCTAAGAGAATAAGACATCAAATCTTGCGGCCATCTAAGTTTTCTTTCAAGACTTCTGCGATTTTGCATCTGCTGAAAGTGAATATGTAGATTTATGGAATGTTTCTTAATAATCTACATATACCATATTTCAATACTTGCTTAACTTAAAAATACACAAAGGCATTATATAGCTTATACTCAATCTCTCCGTCAATTGAAGTAAAAAGCTTTTTGCCATGTATTCTTATATAAAAGAATTACATCATCCATAGTTCACTAAAAGCTTAGCCTTAAACATTTTTATTTATTTATTTATTTTCTATCTGAACATACCAGTTCACCTGCAACAATGGTTGTGAATCCATCAGCCATCTGTCCCGAAAGCATGACTATAGAAGCATCACTGTAAAACAAGAAGCAAAAATGGAGCTCAAAATTGCAGGTAATGTTGGGTAAAAAATACCACCATACACTAATAAATGCAACAAAAATTAAAAACAAGTAGAAGAGGCAAAACACAAATTTACGTGGTTTGGCAAAATCATCTTCCTCACCGCTTTAGTGGTGAATAATTCAAATAATCAAATCGTCAAATTCAAACTCTAATTACTCCCTCATTCCCGAGTCATAACAAAGATGTATAGCAGAAAATGTTGACCGTTTACACAAGTCAGTTGTTCAACATTCTAATGGACAACCATATGTTGGCAGAAATCACTTCAACTCTCTCACATTTGATATTTCTGCCTAACTATATTGATCCAATATACAGTCCTTAGGTTGAAGCATTACGTTCATTGCATAAAACAGCTAATAAATACACATCTGTTTTACATTTTAGAGCAACTTAATATTTTGTCCAGAGGCAAACGTTATTTCCACTGCTACAAACAAATTTATCCTCCATTGAGAACATAAAATGTGCAAGGAAAGCAGTTAACAAATTTTCTGGAGAACTTCAAAGATGAATCTCACGTAAAAGTCAAAATAAATGTGATACATTTACACAAAATGATAGCATTACTGTACTAACTTAGCTAAACGGAAGATTTTACTCTATTAAGAAGGTATACTAGCTGAAGGGGAAGAAATAACATTGGCTCGTGAGACTTGATCCTGAGTTTGCTACATCATCTCTGGTATCATTTACACCAGTTTCTACAAAGTGCAACCACTAAATATGGCCTGGATGAGTGCGGCTACTTCAGATTTGAACTATGTATTGAGGAAATCCATTACAAGCAATAAAGGTTGCAGTCATCAATAAATTTTGTAAAAACTGTTCTTATGACTATATCCAAGTCTTTCATGCCATCCCGCAAATACTATTAAAATTCAAAACGAACCCACGAGACTATTAGTAATTTAGTTCACAAGGACTCCAAATTTTCCATTTGTACGAGCATTATATGTAGCTTCTTACTCTTCTCTTTCCTCCTCCAGGGCAATTAGCCAGGCCTTTTGACTGTTAATCCACTACGTCTAGATGCTACTAATTGCTACAAATCACCTCGACATTCATATAGTGGATGGCAGCTCTCTTTATTTCCTATTGATAGTACATTTTTATAGCAATAAAAGACTGTGGCCCTCTTTGTTTCGGATTAAAATCAGATTGAAGTCAAAGTCAAACAATCAATATTAAACACATCTTTCATGGTCCCACAACTTTTCAACTACACATTTCAAAAACTTCCATCACAATCTATTAAAAATCTAATTTTAATTCCCACCAAACACCCACTGTATGCCTACTTTAGTTGTCCACCATTCAAATGCAATAGATTATGAACAACATGTTATTTGTTCATGTGATTCCCTATTAACAATCACATTTGGAATTTTTAATAGCAAAAATAAATTTCAGGTATGCAATATGGGACGATTAAATTAGCTATCAACAAGCTGGTAAGTTACAAACCTCGGGGATAAACCAATATCTGTCAAGAAAACTAAGAGATATGTGAACCAACAGGCGGACGTTATGTCATTGAGCATGTGCCCCACCCCATAATAGACAACAGAGCACCTTCCAAGGGGCTTCAAGCTTGTTTCATCTTCTCCAGCAACGTCACCATCACCAGCCATCGTGTTACTCAAGTTTGAGATGTTTTGATCAAGGGAAATCCTGTAAGATTACATATCGTTTATGAACTGATTTTTTTTTCAGGAAAATGAACCGAAACTGGTGACTATGCTGTAAGATAACATGCCTGCTCATGGACGCAAAGAAAAATACTTAAAATTGAGCAAATATATATTAGATGACGTGTTCTGAGAATCAGAATATTTTAACAGATGACTCTGAAATCCATCTTTGGCAAGGTCAATGGCATCCATCAGGAAGAAGACTAACAGCAAAAGTTCAAGAGCTTATCAATACATTGCCTGATACTTTGGGTCTCTACGGAAGTAAGTAATTGGTTATGTTCTAGGCTTCTAGCACAATACAAAGGCGGGGATTAGGCACCCAAAAAGCGCAACTACTGCCGGCCTATGCGCCAAAAGGCACAAACTTAGGTTCAAATTAGGAGATCACTTATTGTTCAAATTAGAAACTGTCCAGAAAGAACAATCACATGTAAAATTAACATACTGTGGTCGTACATAAATTGTGAGCATAAATTTTCTCTCCATCCATATAAAAAAAAAAACAAAAAGAAAAAAGAAAAGAAATAGAACATAACTTCACAATAAAGCAAAGAACAGTCTTTTGACTCAACATATGCACGCGGTTTCATAAAATCAAGACACGTAGTAATCCGTCTGTTACATAACATTAAAAGCACCTGAAACACATACATACATAAATGTATACGTATATGCCTTTGTCCTGTGATCTTCGTAACAAGGAAGGAAGGAGTATACCTATAGGAAGCAAGTTTATGCAGAACCCATCAACTTTCTCGGAATAAACAAAACAGTGGAGACCGGATTTTGATGTGGGGGCGGAAGAGCAAAAATATAAATAATTCAAAAAATTTGTGGAGGAGTAAGTATAAAGTAATCGGTGAAGCCGTGAAGATGAAGGCAGGCAGTGTAACCTGTTTTTCTCTCTTGTATGCTTTTTGCCTCTTTCTTCTTAACAAAGAATAAGCAGGAAATGGTGAAACTCGGGTCAAATTGCAATTTCGGTTTTTTTTTAATCTTTTCTTGGTTTATAAAAAATGCTTGTTGTACATGTTCTTTTATAAATTCATGAGATGGAGATAGATTATAAATAATGTTATTTGTACATAATCAAGGGCTGAGTCGTCGAAGTAGGGGGGTCCAAGGGTGGGGGCCCACGGGGGTTCGGGAGCAGCGCTCTAGTTTTTTTTTTTTTGAAACATTATCTGTTAAAATGAGGGAAGTTGGTACTTTGTGATGGAGAAATGAAACAAATGAACATAAATTAATGTACGAAGATTTAATAAAAAAAA